AGATTTGGTGCTGCACGCAAAGTTAAAGGGCTCCACAGCGCTTTCTGCCAGAGTGGTGGTGCAGAGGTAGCCCATTTTCCCATCAATGTTTTATGTAACCTTTTTTTTTTTAATCGATATTAAGAACTGAAAGATCGATATTATATCGGGCAGCCGAATATCACGATATATCGCCAAAACGATTATTTCCCACACCCCTAGTTTTGAAGGTGTGGTTTCGAGGGGGTGGTCTAAAGGGAGAGGCATGGTTGTGTATGTTCAAAAATATAGCTTGCTGGAACCGTTAATCCAAGATCTCCTACTGCAAATTTAAGGATGAGTTATAACTTTTTCTTCAAAATATTTTTTTTTCTCAAACTTATGATAAGTGGCGATTGAATTAATTAATTGTTTAATAATTAATTGAAAAAAAAAGTAGAGCATATAAATATATTTTTTTATAAATGTTTACAGGTCCAAAGTACATGAATATTTAATTCTGGTCATGATGCAACATGTTGACACGTTTGGATCCTGAACCAATAGGAATAGTAGTTTGAAGTCACATGACATGAAGCCCAGGCATTGTCAGGTCCTAGTAGCTCCATGATAGAGCTGAGAAATGGCTTCTCTTTCAGTGATACATTTCTCAGATACTCAAAACAAAAAAGTAATAAAACAAGGGAGAACATTGCTCAAGCTTTCGAGTGTTGGTGCTGGCTTAGAGAGCAAAAATTTTATATTAACTACAGAAATAATCAAAACCATTTTCATTTTCTAACCGGGAAGAAAGTAGAATTACCTATAAACAATTCATCCTCTCCATCAATGTTAAGTTTTTCTTCTTTCACACATAGAGTATAGGTCCAAAGCTACTTGCAGCTGTTTTTATTTCCTCAGCCATCTTTTTGAGTGTTATTCACATTTTAAGCACCAAGCGTCGTTATCAATGCTTCTTTAATGGTGTGTTCGCACCAATCCCATTTTGGGCATCAAAAACCCTAAAAAAAAAACTAAATTTGGATGCTGGATCAAATGCTGGTGAAGTTGAATTGAAGCTCCGATGCTCTGGCTGCTCGGCGCTCTAGTCGTTTATCTGCTCAGTTCTGCAGCTTCAAGCTAAAGATCAGCTTGGCTTTTTTACTTTTAGGAGATGGAAAAATAGTTTTCACAAGTTTCCAAGCAAGAAAGTCCACCTTAAAACACCATCTGTGCAGTCAGTTCAGTAGCATTATGATCCCACTAAAAGATGTAGTTCATCTTCGGAGCGTCAGACCTCCAACATACCGCAGGACAGCAGTGCTAGGCTTCCACACTGAAAGCTCTCTGTTGCGGGCAGCTTGTGGGGGATTTCCCGCTGCAGTTACCAGCAGCTGGAAGTTAATAAAAATAAGATTTTTCCATCGGCAGGTAACATTATTAGTCAATTTAGGTATTTATAAACAGTTTTGCCATAGTTCTTAAAAAAAAAAAAACGTTAATGGAGTATTAATGATCAGAGCTCGCTCTCTTTTCCTTGTAACTTACATGACAATCCATTCTTCCGGCTCTTTTTTAACGTTTAGGAGTTTAACCCCTTGATATTTATTTATTATTCATATGCAGACAGCTCTGCAGAAACGATAATGGCATGATCTCCCCCGAAAAACTCCTGGATCAGTTTTTCTTATTGGCTGACGCTGAGGCGTCCAGCGGCAAAAGTTTAATTTTCTAAACTCCAGAACGCCAGAACACTCCCGCTGCTCGAACACGCTGCTGGACCTCTTGACGCTGTCCCCCATAGACTTTCCAAGTAAATCAGAAGCTTTGACGCCAAAAACGTATTCAGTGTGCACGCACTATAAGGAAGCAAAGGGCTTTTGAAGTAAGGATTTATTTGTGTGTAAAATAATTGCATATGCTCCATTCTGAATGGAGCAAAGAGTGCATCGTCTGGTTACAAAAAAACATAGATGCACCACTAGGCGCTACGGTCGGGCATCAGTCTGGATTGATGTAACATTGCACCCTGTTCAAAGCGCTTAGTATAATCCAAGTTTTAGCATGTTAAAGATCAGCAGTATACCCACAGCATGATGCAGCCACCACCATAATGTTTTCAGGAAAGATCTGAGCTGTTCTTTCTTTACCAATCCATAAACAGCATTTTACTTAGTGGCAAATAAAACACCAGATTTGGTCTGAATGAAGCATCAACTTGCTGCTATTAGTTTCTCCCTACACGTTAAAGCACAGGGTGTTTTCTCAGTCAGCATTAGCATACTGTATGGGTGTTTTCTGGTCAATCTACCATGAATGCACAACGTCTGACAGCCTTGGAGTGGTTTCAGAGTACTGAGCAGCTTGCAGCATCTCAGACCGTTTGCAGCTGCAGTCACACTGGCGTTGTACGTGGCAGTTTGTGTGATGTTTAATCTACTGCTGCACTGACAGGATGTCACATCAAACAGCACACACCTGACTACCCACCAGGAAGCTAAAAGCCTTTGAGTCATACAATAATGCACCATGAGCCACCATTTAATACATATCAAAAGAAAAGCGTTTTTTTTTTCCTTAAAATAAAATCTGCTTTTGAAGCTCCTAAAGCCTACAGGCTAATAAAATAAACAACTTATTTAAATCAGGTTGGAGGCTAGCCTAATGTAAGATAAAACTAAATCATCTGCTAACTTATCCCAGATAAACTTCCCACTTTGAGGCAAACCATTTTGCTTTACAGAATCATCATCATATCTATTTAAAAAGAGGAAGCAGACTATTCATGGCCAAAAAAAAAAAAAAGCCAACACCAGAAACAAATGAATCTATCAGCTGACTTTCTGTCTAAAAGGAGATCTAGGCCTGTGTGCCTAAAGCCTGGGAATATGATTCCCTCAGAAAACAGTAACACAGCAGAAGATAATAGCCCAGTGCCTTGTAAAAGTATTCATGTTACACCACAACGACCTGACATGTATTTTGATGCTTGAATAATGTTTTCTAAGAAACCTCTGTGTCCTTTACAGAACAACTGGACCAATGGTGAGATTCAGTTACACGCAAGAAGAATCCTTTTACTCATGTCTTACTAAGACATTTGGGTGCACCTAGATGCATTAGAGCAGGGATTCCCAAACATTTCCTGTGACCCCGAAAATAAAGCAAAAGATCAGAGATGCTCAAAAAATACATTGGATTAATTTACTCTTTTATGAAACTATTTATCTATAAATATAATATCATCCATACATCCATT